CAGCTCTCCCTCTGTACTGACAGGTCTCTCTTTCTGTGCTGACAGGTCTCTCTTCCAGTGTTGACAGCTCCCTCTATATACACTGACAGCTCTCTCTGTGTGCTGACAGGTCTCTCTTCCTGTGTTGACAGCTCTCTCTATATACACTGACAGCTCTCTCTGTGTGCTGACAGGTCTCTCTTCCTGTGTTGACAGCTCTCTCTATATACACTGACAGGTCTCTCTTCCTGTGTTGACAGCTCTCTCTATATACACTGACAGGTCTCTCTTCCAGTGTTGACAGCTCTCTCTATATACACTGACAGCTCTCTCTGTGTGCTGTCCAGGCATCGTGGTGAGCAGGTGAGCCCCCTCATCCCCCTTCCCTGGTTTCTGCAGCTGGATTAAGGGATGTCACAGGTGCTCCTCCTCCTGACAGCGCTCTCGCTCTCCGCCAGCATCCAGGTGAGGTCTCGCACGAGGACATGCACGAGGGGGCATGCTTTGTGGCACTTGCAGCCCCCTCCCGGCACTTACCTCATAGTCATAAAAAGTTTTGGTATCGTCCAGCGACGCCTGCAGCAGGCACATAGCTGGGTAGTAAAATGACGAACTTGATCCCCCCCTTGAATTTTGCTTCAACCCCCTGGTTGTCGAAATCTACAAACGGACACCCCCTGCCCAAATCATCCAAATCTAATCTACCATAATGGCCGTAGACCAGTGTTTCCCAACCCAGTCCTCACGTAACCCCAGGCAGTCCACGTTTTTGCTCCCTGCCAGCTCCCAGCCAATCAGGAACACTGATTACCTGATACAGGTGCGCTGGGAGCAAAAACATGGACTGTCCGGGGCTCCCCAAGGACTGGGTTGGTAAACACTGCCGTAGACTTTGGTCACAAGGGGTGAGTAGGAGTTCAAGGTACTGCGGAAAGTGTGGGCCGCATGCTTGAGAGGCCTTGGATGAATCCTCCATGATAAGTACAGATGATGATGATGATGATGACGATGATGATGACGAAGAATGCAGTAGTGAACTGAAACATAAATAAGAAAATGTAGCCACTGGATAATCAGCTAGATAAACATCTTTGCTAATATGCCAGGCCCGTCTCATTTTGAATCAAAGCAACCCTTGTTAATAAACGTTTAATAATCCACGTTAGTGGCACAGTCAAACATGGTGGGGTGGGGGGGGAGTCTAAGTTTAGCAGACTGTAGCATGAGTTATGGGGTCTATTTATAGTACAGCTACTTAGACAGAGGAGCACAGCACTGTCTTCTGCCAAAACAAAGGATCCGGCCCGGGAAACCGAACGAAAACAAGCGCCCTTCTGTTAATGGTGCGTGGGGCTGGGAGCTGACAGTGTGCTGGCGACTCAGGAGATAAACGTTTCCAGTTCAAAGCTCCAGGGGCGCTGATTCAGCAAAGTACAGAAAGGCCTGAAATGGGAAGTCGCCTGAGTTGTTTTGAATAAACCTGCAGAGGGCTGGATGCTGTAGCTGTACGTCCACCCAAGTGATTATAGGTTTGAATTCTACCCCAGCTGCCCGCTGAGTTTCTTGTGACGGATGGACGCAGTGTCCAGGGTGTACCCTTTCTTACACACTGCACTGTGTATAGGTAATGCTTAAGCTAATGGAGATGCTACTTGATAACTCGATTAAAAAGAAAAATTCCAAAACTCACTCAGTCCTTATATAATCCAATGAAGATCCACCCATCTCTTTTTTGTGCCTGCTTGTCCTATTTGGAGTTGTAGGGGGTCTGGAATTGGTCTCATAGGCTATGGGCATAAGGCAGGGAATAACCCAGGATGGGGCACCAACCCATCACAGGGCACACACACACATCATTCACTCACACATACCTATGGGCAATTTGGTAACTCCAATTAACCTCAGCATATTTTTGGACTGTGGGGGGAAACTGGAGTACCCAGAGGAGACCCTATGGTAGGGTGGGGAGAACATGGAAATCCAACACCCATGGAGATGGAGCCATGGTGGAGACTCGAACCCTAGTCTCAGACGTGTGAGGCAACAGTGTGCCATCTCAATTAAGGCCTGTCGTTAAATTTCCAAAATTCATTGGGTTGGGGTGAGTTTCGGTAATTCCCTCTTTGGTTGTGAACATGTTTTTGCACAAGATTGTAATCTACATCCATCGCTAATATGCGGAGCCGTGTGGATTCTGTCTGTCTATTGGCTGTGGTCAGTGTTCCAGAAACAAATTCTCTGAATCCAGGGAACAGCGCATTTTGCCAAAAGCTTAGAATCCATTAATGCCAAAACTGGACTAGAATCTTGCTGTACAAATGAATGTTTCATCTATCACTCCATTTTTCTAACACTGTCAAACAATACTGAATAAGGAATTAATCAATTACGTTCAAGTGGCAGAAGCTGAATGCGTGTTTAAGCAAAAGAATAAACTCAGAGATTAAAATGATTATGATTAGTAAAATCTTCATACGTTTGGTGCAAATCTGTGCATTTGTCTTTCATTTGTGTTTCTGACTTGTGAGAGGATTGGTGCATATTCTCCAGCAGCTTGGGCATCATGGGATGTTTTGTATTCACCATTCGATTGTGTCCCCCCGCAGATGTCCTACGGTAAAATCATGAAGACTCTACTGGAGCAATGGAAAATGTACAAAGAGGAATGCCTACGTAACATCACCAGCGAGCCACTGGCCTCTGGTGAGCCAACCCCCCCCCCCCACAGCAGCAACATCAACATGAGACAGTTATCTGGGGAAATATCTCCATAGCATAGAGATATTAATCTGTGGTAAAATGTGGACTCACTCTTTCTTTCATGACTGAACACCACAGCACCATCTGATAATTGATACTTTATTGATCCCGGTGGGAAAATTCTCTTTACGCTTCCCCCAACTTGCTCTCTCTGAAGGGCAGCCACCTGGGGCAGCACCCAGGGAGCTGGGGGCTAAGGGCCTTGCTCAAGGGCCCACGGACTGGCAACCTGCTGGGGCTGGCAACCTTCTAATCAAAGGCATAGCGGCTTAGCCCACTGAGCCACACGCTGCCCCCTGCAGGTCTCTGAAGTATACGGCTCTGCCTGAAGCTTAAAGGGGCAGGTCTCTGTTGTGTATAAGAGGGTCTTTAATGGCATGACCTCATGACCTGAAGGTTCCCAGTTCCGGTTCTGGGAGGCCCTTTGCTGTGGTGCCTACAGGAAAAGCACAGCAAATTCTCAAGCTGTATAAACAGCCCAAAAATGTCCAAACTTAACGTGCGTTTTGGGGTCGTCTCCGTCAGGCGTGGTCTGCAACCGCACCTTCGACAGGTACGCCTGCTGGCCGGACGCACAGCCCAACAGCACCATCAGCGTCTCCTGTCCTTGGTACCTGCCATGGCATCACAAAGGTAAGGGCTGGGAGGGGGAGTGGGGCGGGTGGTGCTGAAAGGCAGTGATAGCCGATGGCAGAGAAATGGATGGATGGCGTGACAGGACAGCCGGCTTCAGACAGCCTGAAGTGTTTCCACCGCTGATATACCAGCAGGTTCACCTGCTATATGGATGGTCGTGTTTCTACAGCATCAGTGTCACTATTTGCGCAATCAGTCCCTAAGCCGCTGATCTTTCGGGAGGGTACTGTGTGTTGTAGGGCTGTTCCCGCTAACCTGTCCCTCTCCCCGCTTGTCCGTGCAGTCCAGCACGGGTTCGTGTACCGGGATTGTGACTCAGAAGGCCGGTGGATCTCCATGAAAAATGCCAGCGAGTGCCAGTTGGACGACTCAGAGCAGGTGACACATCCACTGCCGCCCGCGTGTCGCCGTCTGTGTGTTCGGAGGGCCTTTGCATTCCATCTGGATGTTCACTGGCATGTCTGTGCACAATGGTGGGAGTTGTGTGGCACGTGGCTCTATGCGCGGGGGTACAGGTATGTGAGTCACAGTGATCTATCTGTGTCCACGTCCCATTACGTGTATCTGTATGTGTGGGTTTGTAAATATGATGCCCCCAAAAATGTCCCCATATTGTGGTAAAACCTGTAACTTTTTAGCTTGTGGGGACATTTTTCAGGTCCCCCACAATGAAAAACTCAATTTTATAAAAATCTGTGGATGAACTAAAATAGCCAAAAGTCTTGTGTTTTGTTTGGTTAAGGTTAGGGCTGCGTAGGGGTTGAGGGTGTCATGATTTTGATTGGGGTTTTTCCCAGAGAAATGAATTAAAGGTCCCCATTTAGATAGGAACGCCAACATGTGTGTGTGTCTGTGTGTGTGTGTGTGTGTTCCAGCTGTACGGCAAGACCCTCAGCCGCTTCCTGGCCATGTACACTGTCGGCTACTCGCTGTCACTTGGGGCTCTGGTTCTGGCCCTCAGCATCCTGGTGACATTCCGGTAAGAAATGGCCGCGGAGAGGGATTCGGTTCAGATCCGACAAAGCTGTACAGGAGGACCATTTGGGATGGGGGGGGGGGGGTAGTTCAGTTTTAGATGAGGTTGAACTGGTAAGATACACGTAAACTTGAAGTGGTTATGAGGGGGAAGTGGGTTTAAGTATTAAAAAGTGTATTAAACTGCGGATGTTAATAGCTGGTGTTCTAGTTGAAAGCAGGAAACAGCAGTATGTCGCATTTGTTTTCCAGACTTGTCCTCCTCGTTATTAAAATACACCAGTCCATCCAATGAGTGAAGGTCAAAGGCCATAAGTTAAAGGTCATAAATCTTTTGTTTTTTTTTTTAACCTTCTCCCCTCAGGAAGCTCCACTGTACGCGAAACAACATCCACATGAACCTGTTCGCCTCCTTCATCCTCAAGGGCGTCTTGATCCTCCTGAAGGACGTGCTGATCGACACAGCCACCCCACACGTCATCCCCGATGACATCCACTCCGACTCCCAGGTGGAGCGGCTGGTCGGGGGCAAGGTGGGCGGCGGTCGAGGGTGGGGGGCAAGGAGGACCTCAAAGCAAGAAGGGAGAGCGGGAGCCCCAGAGACTTAATTAAAACAGACAAATGTGTAAGACAATGGAAGCGCCAGGCCTGCAGGACTATTTGACCTCGCAGAGACTAATCAGACTGAAAAATCAGAGCAGAAATATCTGCACTCAACCTTCATTCCAGTCAGTCCATTAAAATGAACTCCATCCAATCCAAAAAGTCACATTTGCAATTCATTCTGGGATGCAGAGGTGACATTTTCATACATTTTGTTTCACGAAGCGTGAGACGTGTTTTCATTTATTTTCACCTTCAACCACAGACCAGAATTCAGGCTAGGTAGCCTGGGCAGGTCGGAAATGGGAGGGCCGTGTGAATTTGTGACAGTTTCATCTGTCAGAACCCAGTTTGTGCAGCTCAGTCTGACTCTATGCTGTTTTAATAGCCGTGTTTGCTGGCAGGGATTCTCAGAAACATCCGTTTTTGATTTATAAACACAATGCTCAAACTCTCAGTGTGAGCATCGGTGTGTTAGCATGGGCAGGGTCACCTGACTAACTTATAAGCAATCTCATTGGGCAGATGCAGAGGCAAAAAAATTGCAGGGGCGCTGGATGAACAGCTTACCCCCAACCTTCGCTCTCACCCCTGTTTGTGTGTGTGTGTCTCAAAGCAGGGAAGGGACACGTGGGGAAGAGCACGCTGCGATGCACCCGAGCTCGTACTTGTAGAAATAAAGCATCATTTTATTTCTGGTATATGTCATTTGTTCTCTCTGTCCCTCTGGTCTTAGATGGCCGTGGTCTGCCGGGTCGCCTTCGTGATGATGCATTATAGCATCATCGCGAACAACTACTGGCTCCTAGTGGAAGGAATTTACCTCTACAACCTGCTGGTCGTCACTGTTTTCACAGAGAGGAACTACTTCAATATCTACCTGTGCATTGGCTGGGGTGAGTGAGTGTCTGGCGTGTGCGGGAATGTTTCCATTTGGTTAGCAAATCTACCACAGGATTTGAAATTGTTCAGCGGGTCCGTGTACTGGCTGCCGCAAACTCACTTAAGTCATCTCCTTTTGGCTCATGTTGAGTTAAACCAGGCATGGCCACCCACCAAGAGGTTTAAACCCTCATCCCATCCCTTTGCTTGTATTTTGGGTGGTCATATACCTCTGTGTTTGTGATCGGAAGGTTGCCGGTTCGAATCCCAGTGTCAGAAGAATAGTCACACCACTGTTGAACCCTTGAGAACGGTCCTTAGACCCCTGCCGAATGCTTCAGGGGGCCTGGATATAGGGCTGGCCCTGTGCTCGGACCACAAGCCTCATTCTCAACTGTATATATGTGTATGCCTTAAAGAGGAGCATGATGGGAAATGCAAATAATAAGCATTCCAATGTCCCTGTAATCGTACATGTGCATATGACAAATAAAGCTTCATCATTTCATTTTGGGGAGGGAAGGACAGGAGGCTGTAGTGCTGGAGAAGGTGGAGGGAATGGAGATGGTGGGCAATCTCTAACCTGGTCCCCTGTGTCCCGTGTCCCACGCAGGTGCGCCGCTGATCTTCATACTGCCCTGGGCTTTGGCGAAGTACCTGTATGAGAATGAGGAGTGAGTGGTGACTGTAGATGTTTGCTTCTGGGTCTCGTTCTGCTGCCTGCACAAGCTGCATGTTACTGTCTTGCGGATGCTCTACCTCCACAGACGTACAGTGCATTTGGCAAGTGTCCCACACATTGGCTGGGACATATACAGGGGCGTGGCCTCTGCGGCATACGCCCAAGCTGAAAGCTGATTGGCCCCGGAGTGCCCCCTCCCCCGTCACTCATTGATTCAAAACATGTGATTGGCTAATGATATGGCTTGCCTCTTTCAAAAAATCCTATAATTGCCCCTGAACACTGGGGAGCGCCTGTGGCTCGCAAAATGAGCAGCCTCCATTTTTTGGCCTTTTACTCATCAAAGACAAATCATTGTGGCAAAGCAAGATAAATACGAAAAAGCCTCTTCATCTTGAATACTGGGAATTTTCAATTGAGCTGATGCCTTTATTCAATGCAGCTTTAATTTTTTCCCATTTGACTTGGCAAATATTTACTGAAGCAATCCAGCTGAAAAGGACTGCAGTTAGATCCATGTCCTTTGCCACCACACCACCTGCTGGACATTTTTGAAATTGCACCACAGATACTGCGCTGCCACGCTATAACGCTGCAGCATTAGCGTAGCTGTGCTGTGACACACGCTGTGGATGCTGATGTACTGTACTGTTGCACACAGGGTTTCACACACATTTCAGCACTCCCACTCAAGCACGACTGCCATCTGTTCTGGTTGCCGGTCCACTAAACATTCAAGTACTACATGTATATAAATGATTTTGGCAAAAGTAAGAAGTCTGTTTTAAGATATTACAGTTGTGTCCTTATCAAACCGTTATATGTATGTGTTTGTGTGTTCATGGAGGGGTTATGTATATGGTTATATATACATTTGGGGCAGCATGTGGCTCAGCAGGCCAGCTGTGATCGGAAGGTTGCTGGTTCAAGCCCCGACCCGGTTAGTCATGCCTTAACCCCCCAGCTCCATGGATGCCCCTATAGGTGGCTTCCCTTCACTGCCAAGCTCACCCTCACCTGCATGTGTGTAATGGAGAGCAAGACATGGCAGCCAAAAAGACAATTTCCCCACAAAGATCAATACAAGTGTCATTGTTATTATATTATGTCACCTGTTATTTTGACATTGTGGGATTTTTTTTCAGCCCCCCACAAGGGAAAACTCAATTTTCTAGAAATATGTGATTGCAATCAAAAAACTAAAAATGCCAAAAGTCTTGTATTTTGTTTGGTTATTTATGATTAAGGTTACAGCTGGGTAGGGTTTAAGGTTGCCATTGTTGGGATTATGGTTATGCCCATAGAAATGAATGGACAGTCCCCACAAAGAGATGAATGTGAACATGTGTGTGTGTGTAGAGTAAATCTTTGGAAAGTAGCATTTAGCTTAGATCTCTTAGCAATTTGCTTCACTGTTGGTTTCTTAATAGCCTTCGCAGTTGAACTCAGTTTCATTGTGAATTTAAGTGTTAATTTACGTGCTGGTGGGGACCCTGAAATTGCCCCTGTATGGTGGTAAAAGAGCTTTTCTTATTGTCTTGGTCCCCACGGCTCCTGATTTCTCCCCCAACCCCTGCCCCTTAAATCAATCTCTTTAGCTCCCCCTAGATGCATTCCTTCATTACAAAAGAATCATTCATTTAGCAAACCGCATGTAGCGATTTGCAGCTCATGCGGCGATCGGTCAGGGCCTGGGGAGGCGTGATTGGCTACGTGCTCAGTAGCGAATGAGTGGATTATAGCTGTGGGTTGTAATGGGGACTGTGTCATCGCCAGGTGCTGGCAGAGGAACGACAGCATGGCCTACTGGTGGATCATACGCTCCCCAATACTGCTCGCTATCCTGGTGAGTGCCGACATCCTGCAGCACATGGGCCTGTCCATCCATCCACTCATCCGTCCATCTGTCCATCCATCACCCATCCGTCCATCAGTCCACCCATCCGTCCATCTGTCCATCCATCCATCATTCATCTAAAAAGCTAACAATTTTCAATTTTAATTTAAGACCCATTAGTAGAGCATTGCCGGTGCTCAAAGGCAATAATGGCCATGTGGTGCCCCCCACAGGTAAAGAATAAAAAAGGGACGCTCTGTACCTTTAAAAGGGGGCACTTTAAATAGCTTGGCACCCCCCCCCCCCCATATGCACATTACTGCCATGATTTCCAGAAGGAGAAGTTCTGAGAAATTTAAATTAAATTATTAATATAATACAATTATGCAGTCTTTACACTAAGAATTATTATCAGATAATTAGAAAATTATACTTTTTCACATAACTGAAGGATAAAGAAGTAATAAATGAATCCGAAGCATTTTACATAATTGCTTATACATCATAAGGCAATTTTTAGACTTCATTCAGAGAGGAACCGAACAAGGACACAGAGAGAACGCACAGATTCCACAAACGCAGTCCCAGAGGGGGCATTGAACCAACATCCCTCACCATAATCTAACAAGGACACAGTGAGAATGCACAGACTCCTCGAACGCAGTACCAAAAGGGGCATTGAACCAACAAACCCTCACCATAAAACAGCAAAATAAAAATTAAACATAAATAATTCCGCTTATTTCGCTTTCCCTATTCTGTCAGTCCCAAGTATCTTACAGACATTATCTGGAGACTGTTATCCTTGCTACTAAAATCACAGTCATTGTCCCTTTGATACTCTTCCTTCATTGCTTATCTGGCTTGGTGCAGCAGTTATTTATATATTCTTATTTTCTGCAGTTTTCAGCTCTGCTCATAGCTCCTGTCCTGACTAATTGGACTGGACACTGAAACTCTGCTTCTCAGTCTTCTATATGGCTGTAACGTATCTGGCAACAGGAGTTAATATGTCTGATATTTGTAATGTTCTGTAGTTATTTAATACAGGATTTGAACCTGGCTTTTGGCTCTCAGAGTTTTAAGCAGAGGTGGAAAGTTCAGGTCCAGGAAGTACAAATCCAGACCAAGATTTTGCTTCAACCAACCAGTTGAGTACTCTGTGACTGAGACTTTTTTTATATTCAACTGGTTGGTTGAAACAAAATCTTGGTCTGGATTTGTACTTCCTGGACCTGAACTTTCCACCTCTGGTTTTAAGTCACTCGTACACATTTGGTGTTTTTCGAAGGCAGAGTAAGCTGATTCTTAGAGGAAGGGATTGTTCCTGGTAATCGAAGGCTGGAAGCTGGACCCTCGCCACGTCCTCTCCACATTTTTTCCGATAAGCGTCTGTAGCAGTGTTTATCGCATCACGTAGGAATTCCCGTGTTTGCGTTCTTTATTTCCATGGAGTCCACTGTGCTGAATTGCGTTTGTTTCCTGCTCCCCACCCTGGTTTGTTCTGAATCGGGCTGTTCGCTGGTACATCCAGATAGGGTGGACCTCTGTCGGCTCCTGCATCCAGGATGTTCTTTGGGGTGCAAGTCCCTGCGGTAAATTTCACCACACTCCGTTATGTAACACTACATCACCGTTGCCTCGGTGACCAATCTCCCTTTGAAGGTGGCACTTTGACCTTCTGAATTAAATATATGAGAAGGTCATTGTTCCCTCACAGGACAACAAACTCAGTTTCATTTTCTGTTGATGCCTGTTGTGGCCACACATGAATAGCTATGGATAAATACGTCTATTATTTCATTATTGTTTTATACAGAGAGTGACTCACCTACTCTGTAGCTGAATCTGAAGGTTGATTGCATGTTTTATTCTCTCTTACCTGACTAGTCTCTCAGTAGAGGGAAGTTGCTGGCATCGTTCCATCAAGTAGCCCGTATGAACTTGGTATTTTGACAGGTTTAAGTAGACCTAGATAAGTCTGGAAGGAATCTTGGCAAGGTAACTTACATTATATCTTAATCGACTTAAGTCTTAAAGATGCCTTGGCTTGCAGCATGTATGGTGAACCAGACCCAAGCTACAGCCTTTTGAGGAATCTGTATCTTGACTAGCATTGCTTATAAATTTAAATAAGTCCATGTATCTTAACTAGTAATGGGTTTTAAAATGCCCCAATGCTTTGGCTGGTGTCTTGATGGGTGGTCTTGAAGGTGATGTGCAGCTCAGTGGTTTAGGGATCTGCACCTACGTCTGGAGCAAGGCCTGTACACAACCTTTTTCTCACCCATGTTTTGCCTCGCAGAGAACTGAGGAATTTCCCCACGAGAATGAATAAAGTGCATCTATTCTATCAGTAGCTTTTAGAAGTTCAGTCTAACTTATCTGCCTGCTGAAGAACTGCTGGTGTCGGTCCCATGAGGTGGTAGTCGGGAATGTGCAGCAGACAAACACCCCCCCAGCATTTGAGTCATCTAAATGCAAACTGTGGTCTGTAGCGGATGTGGAAACGAAGGAGCTGAAGGAAACTAAGGACAGACACGCGACGTGAGCAAGCTTGACGTTTTTGTCTATAAGCACAAACCAAATTCCAGCAACAAGCAAAGAGATAAACAAAATGGCTAATGGTCACGCACATGAGTAAACACGCTGGTTTGGGCACGACCTGCTGTCGACCTGCTGTTGTCTTTCTCCAGTCATCGGTGGGTCAATCCCTTGACACCTCAGAAGCATTTTTGCGGCACAGTAGCTAAACTCTGCTGCTAAATGATTTCCCATCCAAAAGCTGAACTGCGATAGACTGCAATCTTTGGTCACATGATTATGGTTCAACTGATGATATCAGTCAAAAGGAGATGTGTTTCGATTTTTTATTTTATTTTATGAGTATTACAATGAAATATTATGACCATTAAGTTTTAACAAAACCTGCCCAGCCGATCTACCAGGACTTATGAAATTACATCTACAGAACCTTGGGTTGATGACAGCTGATTTAGACTCTGTTTTGGTTTTATTTCTGCCCAAATCTGTATAGCGCCTTGCAAAGTGGGCATACAGACAGGTTGCTGCTCTCACTAGACTATAAAACTATGAAAAGCAGGATATCTCGAGACAGGTTTGTAGATGAAAGAAAGTTGTATTGGATGAAATAGATGTCTTGTTTCTGGTCTTCAGCTACCCTCTTCTCACCCAGTATCTACGTCAAACAGCGTTGCTTGCACTTCTATGGTTTCCTGATCATGACTGTCTTCATTTATATCTGCTCTCTCCGATTCAGATCAACTTCTTCATCTTCGTCCAGATTATCAAGATCCTGATGTCCAAATTAAGAGCGCACCAGATGCGATATACGGACTACAAGTTCCGGTGAGTGCTGGTGCACTTTACTCGTGGGGACACGATGTAGTAGTGCACACTTACTTAATGCATTAATTAACCAGTAACTAAGTGTTTGTTAAGTACTGACCCCATGTTCATTAATTAGTCATGACAGTTCATGTATTTTATTGGGAAACCTATATCAGTTCATGATTTGTTTTTGAGTAGTAAATGAGTAATTTTTGCCCCCTCAAATGGTCTTACTATTATTAACTAATTAGTTAACTACTGTATTAATACATGATCCATCATGATTTATTAATGATGTACAAGCATGGGATCAGTATGCCTTAAGTAAGCATGTACTACAACATATGTCTCCTCAAGTAAAGTATGACTGCTGGTACTTATGAGTTACACCTTTGGCTTCTGGAACATCCTCTTGGGTTCTTAATTTTAATATATTTTATTGGTGTAATTAAGTTTTCCTCGAGCTATAACAATCATTCAGGTTTATGATGCTTGTTTTACTCCATACCTCCTTAACTGTCTTTTTCCTCTTCCTTCATCTCCTTTATTGTCTCCTTCTCTCAACACTGTGTCTTGTTCTCCCTCTTCATGTCCTCCATCTCTCTCTCTTTGTCCACAGTCTGGCCAAGTCCACTCTCACCCTTATCCCTTTGTTAGGGATCCACTGGATCCTGTCCGCCTTTGTCATGGAGGAGCAGGTTACAAATGGCCCATTGCGTCTCGCCAAACTGTTCTACGACCTGTTTTTCGACTCCTTCCAGGTCAGCCGATGTTCCCGCAAGTTATGAAGAGTGTCAGGCTCACATGGTCACACATACATATGGCACAGTGACACACCGATATCCTAGTATTATATCATATGTCAAAATTCAGTGGCAAAATTAGTATGTGCATTATAGTTACATGACAATGTAGAATTGTTTGATTGTACCTTCCTGGATTATCTAGAACCCTGGCACATATTTGATTCCATTATTACTTAATAAGTGAAAGTCCAATGGCAAAAGCAATATATGCATTATAGTTACATAACAGTATAGAATACTTATGCTGTACCTTCTGGAGGTTTCCAGAACTCTGGCACGTGATCAGTTGTCGGTTTGTGTGCGTAAAACCACCCTATGAACTGTTTCTGGCTTATTACTGCAGTAGATGTATGAAGAGTTTATTTTGCACGCAGATAAGAACATTTGCCGGCCACAAATTGTTGGACTTGGCACTTTAATGCCTCGACGCCGATGTGTTTTCGTTTGACACAGCTGTACTGTGTCAGCTGTGATTCTTGGCTGAATTAGCTTGATTGGTCTCAAACCAGGTATGCCTCACATTTTGGGCTTAAAAGCCCCACGGGCTCCTGTACACATTTATATAAGCGGCGGGGGCCCTGTCGGGACAGATAGCAGCATTTCTTCCTCTTCATCCTGTGTTTACGTCGTTGGCCTGTCTGCGTAAGTTGTAAATCTTGCCAAGTATGAAGAGTAGAGAATAATTGGGTGGAAGAATCTGGTGAACTGACAAAATCAAGATAGTTCCCAAAGGAGAAGAGGCTTGGTCAGCAGCCAGTCTAATGGGAACCCAAATATATGAAGGGTACTTCACTTAAAAGGGTTTCATACAGAAGAAGGTCATAAAATAAGGTGTCGCTCCAACAAATAAGGCCAAAACTATGGTGTGGTTGCACAATTCCTGGGCATTGTTCCCATGTACCACTGTGTAGTTAAAATGATCGGCTGTCATGATATCGATCGATCTACCAAGTCATCTATATAGAAAATCCAGTGCATGATATCAGTGAACTTAATGGGGTTCTTATTTTTCAATGAAACTGAGAACTCTGGCCATCAATCAGCTCACCCGGCCTATCGTATGCAGTTTCATACCTCTAATAGCATGCTAACATTTAGCCCGGCTCAGGAATTCATTTATGTACAACTAATATCTATCAGAGAGTGACTGATTGTCAGACATAATGCTTGGTTTGCGACAAGTTTGAGATCAACTGGACATCTGTCCAGCTACATCTATTGTATGTCCATCCACACTTTTCCAGTGAAATGTGATGAATAAACAATGTGAGAGCTTGTTTTAACCATTCAAGTACTAGACAGTGTGGAGCAATAGGTGCATGATGGACTGAAAGTCGAAGGTCTCTTGTTTCTTCAAAGAACAAAGTATATTTCTTCTCCAAGGATGAGTTGTAGGATATCCTGTGAACCAGGTTGTCTGTTAGATATTCCTGGTTCATTTCGAAGTATAGGATCAGGTTGTGTACAAAATTACCCCTTGTTTTGTTGGCATTTCCTCAGGGTCTACTAGTGGCTATCTTGTACTGCTTTGTCAACAAAGAGGTGAGTTTTGGAGCCCTTTTTTAGCCTTTTCTGGTTTGTTCCGAGTGTCGTCCGGACTCCTGTAACATTGGCCCTTCCTCCTGCGTTTTCCCCCCAGGTACAATCCGAGATGATGAAGAAGTGGAAGCGATGGAAGTTGGGGAAGAACATCGAGGAAGAGTACCGCCATACTCACAGTCAGCTGCCCCATATGAAGGGCAGCATTGTGGGCCACCCACCATGCCCCCCCAAGCCGCCTGACCCGAGTAACCCCCCCAGCGACCAGGAGGAGGATCGACAGTTGGTGGGCAGCCATCCGAACGGCATGGGCAAGACCCCGACGTGCCTGCCATTCCCTCTCTCGTCACAAGATGGCAGCAGTCATAGTACACTGATAGAGAGCATCAACCTGGAAGACAGGGTACAGTGTTATGTGCCCCACCACAACAGCGTGGAGAGCAATTTTTGAGCTGGGGAGCCTGTCCCTCCACCCGTTTTTGTTCCAGTACCCTTCAAGACGGCTTATGGACAGAGATGTATCTCTGGTGAGCAGAGTTGGAACATGGAGATGCTGGGCCCAGCCCAGCAGGGGTTGCTGGACATTGCATGGCCCGAAAGACACACAGAACTATTGCTGAGTCTCAACCGGATGCCGGGAATTCGGAGATTGCCTAGTGGGTTTATTTATGTGCTTTTATGAAATAGCGTCTTGTTCTAAGATCTTAAAAGTGTGCCTAAAATGCGCACCTAGAACATTCGCCTAAAAGCAAGAAACTGAAAATGTTAAATTAGTGTAACGCGAGTTACAGAAACCTAGAAACCTCAAGGTAATGAACAGGGTCTTGGGTTTAGCCTTTTCAATAGTTATTTGTCTATTTGTTGGCCACAAAGGTACTTGGCTCTTAAGACTCTCTGTCTCTCTCACATTCACACCGACACACACGTATCATGTACATGCACAAATGTTAAAGTCTGAATAAGATGTACAGTCTCAAAATTCCTCCATAAACGATGATTCCTGATCTTATATGTTCTGTATGTGTGATATTAAGGGGAATCACAGCAGCCGTGGAAAGGGTCCATCCCTGACCCTGCAGTTCTGAAACAGTGACACAATTTCTGGGGATGTTTGTGGAATGTTGTGCTTGTGTATATTATAGATGCGTTCTGGAGTGGAACTCTGTCCAAGGATTCTATGACAGGATTCTAGAAATTTCAGCTTATACAGTTGGATGGCAGGGACAGAGACAGGTGAAAAAGACATTACATACAATTGAAGTCTTCAATGTCATACCTTTCAGAGGTATGGACATTGGTTGTCATTTGTACAGAGAAGTGCAAATGTGATATGGCATTTTTTTGCTGTTGTTGTAATTATAGTGGTGGTAGTGGTGTTATTATGTATAGTAGTTGTTGTATTATGTAAGTATAGATGTTGTGTGGGAGGCCCCAAACAATGTGAAAAGCAGTGAGAGTAGAAAATCTGGTTAAAACAGGAGAGTGGTATCCTTATGTTCTGCAGGGACATTATCCCTCTGGGTACATGTATACCTACATAAGCTCTCACACACTTAAATTCACACATTGATACATACATGCAGAATCCCTGTGAATGTCTGCCTTAAAGTTTATTCAGTGTCCTACAAGCAAGCCTTATGAACATAGGAAATCCTTCTTGCATATCTTACATTCTTACATTCTTAATATAATATCAAGGTCCATTGTGTTGCATCCATCCGAGGACAGGAATAAACCTCTCAAGGTGGAAATGGGAAGGAAGTTCTGTAGTGTGGAGGTCATGTGATAAGCTGTGAGGGTGGGATTGGCTGTAAGTTCCCACTTTCAATACAGCAGGAACATCTACTGCACAACTGTGCATTCCAGTCAACAAAGACAGAAAGATATATGACTTTTTAACGCTGTGTTAGTCTTTGTTAGTCTTGTAGGAGAAGGAGCAGAAGAAGTGTTTAGATATGAACTTGCATAATTGAGCACAGGATGTTACGAGTCAAAAAGTCACTGTCCTAGAGTCATGTGGTTATCATGTGATATGAAACACACACACATACACACACACAGAGTACACATATTCATATCTTTATGAGGACTCTCCACTTCTATCTGAAAAATGAATTAATTTATATTGAGGATGCAACTAATAGACAGGGACAAGCACACACACTCTGCACAGAATGCTTATATACAGTATAAAGCTTAAGTCTTCACACATCACTTAACTGGAGCCAGTGATCTATGACCAACTATACGGCAGCTGACCTCTGGTAATAATACTTACAGACTCTGCCTCGCTTTCAGTACCTCTTAGTACATGTTCAACCAAGAATAGTCAAGGACAGATATCTCTGTCTCTGCCTCAGACCTGCTGAACACCTGCTCTCAGGCCCTGGACAGGTAAATGCAAGTACTCTGGGATGAATCCCAGCACTCATTCCCTAAGATCAGCATCACTTTCTCTAGTTCTGGGAAACCCTCACCTCTATGCTGTTCTTAATGAAGCCTCTTAATTAAGGTAGGACCGAGTTACCACAGAATAGTAATTGACATGCCTTATCTATGAATGCCTACAACCAATACCCAGAAATATATCAACGATCTCTAACTTCATTTGACTCATCTGTGCCCTATAAATAAAACAGAACAAGCTAGAATTCTGTGAAACTTTGATACGAGTGAGTTGATACAAAAACAAAGCACAAGTGAAGCAAGGAGGATTGTTAATGTTGCCATACATTTTTATACTCGAGAGTTTTAGAGTTTAAAGTTTGTGTTTTTTGTGGCAGCTTTGTCATATGTCATTGGCTTGAGGTGCTTGGGGGGGGGGGATCATGTCAGCCAATGATGGGCAGGTATGGAATCTCCTTATGGGACATGAAGGGGGGCACTGTAAGGGGAGGTGTGAGAATGGTGAGGATTGAGTGATATTAATGGCCGGGCATTTAGATGGAGTATAAATAATCCTTCCCTCAGTCGTCCATCATTAGCCTCATTAGATAGACATCAAAAGCACGAAAACTACTCAGAAGTCCAGCTAGAGCGCGAAGGAGTCTAATTCCTTGAGATCTTTGCTGGAACACAGACTGTACACAAAGCAAGTGCCCAGCGCCTTATTTCTGAAGCCCTGCTTTAGATCTTCATCAAGGGCCATCAAGACGCAAGAACTGGTCAGAGGAGAAAGTATGCTTCACTTTCATGCAAATGCGTTTGTGTAGTATGGATGGATAGTTCACCCATTAGCGGGCATAATGATCGCTTTTATATCAAGTCATGGCGGCCGTTCGCCATGGCAACAGAAGGCCATTGAATCTTCAGAGCTAGAATAGTCCTGTGTGTGGTTTCACTGTTAGTCAAAGATTTTAGTTTCAAACACTGTTCAAGGACGGGGGACATAAAATCAGCGAAGCTTCTGCAGGAGTTTCCTTTTCCGCTGGCATGAATTTACACCCGACTTTAGTAGCAGTTTCAAAGCGATTAAGAGTTCAGATGAAAACCAGTAAACCTTGCCGGCTTCAGTGGACCAGCAGTTCTTGCATCTGCTTTAGAGGGACCTAATCAGTGCGATCTAGCATCCAGTGACAGTCTGTTCTACACACACCGGTGAGTCATACTGTTGTTCTGTTGGCTGCCAGCCCCCCAGCACTGCTGAAAGCTACAAGCAGCCGCACCCTCCCCTCTGGACGAGCTTAAGACTGTCTGAAGGTACAAACATGTCCATCGAGCATCTATATAGTTGTGGTCTTTCTTCTCCTGGGGCTTTACCTCCTGTATGTAAATAAACATGTTCGTTTGTGTTGTTTTTCTATGGGTATTATTTGATGATAAAAGATTGTATTGAAGATGATAAAAAAAAATAATAAAGCCGCAGGTTGAACAAATGGACTGGCGAACGTTCAAGCGTGATATTTCGCACTCTTTTCAGTGTGTGTGTGTGTGAGAGAGTGTGTGGTACGTTAGTGTTTACTCTGTCACATTTAGATGTTAAGCTATAAGGCTTTCAGTGAAATGTACAATACTCTTTAGTCATCATGTACTTCTTCTATGTGACGTCTGGTTCTAATTATTATTTTTTTAATTTCTCATAATAACAGAACAATTCTCACCATTGGCGTGTGTGAGGAGCAAAATTATTGTCACTAAACCTTAATGTCTGTGTGTATCCTGGAAATGTTTATGTCTAACATGCATTTGTTGGGGAAAAAAAGCAATGATGTAACAGGCATCAGAAATGGTTCTTTTGTGTTCAATAAATCTGTCAATTTGTTCTTAAATTTTTGGTGCATTTGTACAAAAAAATCAGAGTAAGGTTACAAGGCATTGAAAAATATCTTCTGGTGGCTTTCTGGAAACAGGTCAAGTATAAAAATCAAACTCTAAACAAATCCAGACATATTTTAAACAAAAAATGACCACATGCACAAACATGGCTTCTAGTTACCTCTCTTTTAAGTGCATATTTTATGTTTCATTGATAATAAAATTTGAAAGCACCAATTTGCCTCTTCAGTCACCCCATCTGGACATTTTAACTTAGAAGTGTAGTACCTTTTATCGTGGAAAAGTACCTCCATTTTAGTCTTGGCAGGGGGGGCTGTGTTTGATTCTCAGTGATATGCAGGTTATAAACTGGACGTACCACGTTCTGGCTACTTGATCTCCGCTAGTCTGCCTTGTTGATGAGCTTTCTGCAGGTAGCCAGCGTGACTGTTTCTCCTCTTTCCATCTAGGGGCTTCTCTTTCGCTTTCTGCCCTTGCTTTTGACAAACGAAATCTGTCCGACTGTAAACACTGCAAGCCATTCTTCTTGTGTTTCTCGAACACCGGTTCTTTCACAGTCCCCC